AAAAAAAAGAAGAAAAGAAGCAAAAATCACTATGTGACTTTATCGAGCATAGGAATCACTTTTCCCATCATACATACTCAAGATGTCTCTCTTGTCTTTTGACTACTATTCCCTGGATTATTACAAATTTACAAGTACATTTTTTACATATGTTTGCTAATCGTATCATTGCATAGCCATACCATGTCATTTCTTACGGATTGTACGGAAAAAAAATTTGAATGGCAAAATCTATGAAAAGGTTAAAGTTAGATTTGTCTGGTTTTACAATTTGACATCCATTTGCTTTTCTTCTTCCTTCACTAACACTAAAATGAAAATCCCAATTTTGTGTGCTAAGCAATTTCACAAGAGACAATTTGAAACTCTATTTCTTTAAGTCAAAATTACGTATGTTTTTGAAATCTTAAGTTTGATAAAGAAAATCGAGTCAAAGTTATCCGAAAATGATCAAATAGAATTCATAAAATGATATTAAAAGATAATCGAATTTCAACATTTTTAAAATTAAAATTTTAATTCAATCATGATTATTTGGACAACATGATGCTTTTCGAATTGATTAGTCGTATGTAACAATATGTTGAGAAAACAAAATCAAAATTTGGCAGCTAATTAATGTGATCAACCTTTTTTTGCATGATTTTATATCAATAATTTAATTTTTTTTTTCCAGTCAAGGAGAGATAATGATGGTATGACTTTATGGATAAAAACACCACCACCAGTAAAACCCAGAGGAAGAAAACATAATATATTATATATATATAGAAGTATTTGTTAGCTGTCTGTTTGACCCCATTTTGGGTTTTTCACACAATGGACTTCCAATTGCAAAGATCCATCCAATATGAAGGGATGATTTTTTAAGTTAATCCTTCATTATTGAAAGGAGTTAGTCAATACATTTCATTAATTAGTACCAAAAAGAATTCTCCATTGCAATTCAGATGAACAAAAAGAACACAAATTAATTCTTGTATCTGCAAATTCTGCCCATACCATCTTTTATTTTTGTCTGGATAAACCATCAGATAGCATTTCCCCATCTACTCATTAATGCCAAAACCAAACATGGAAGCTTTTGTATTTATTGCTGAACCCCCAACTTGCTTTATCAGGTTAAATACTGGTTGGTTCTTACATGTTTTTTTTTTTTTCCAATTAAATTCATTCTCATAGGACAATTTTCTAAAGCAAATTTGGTCCTTCCATGGCCCCCTAATTGAATAATGCAAAGGAGTATTTGATTTTCAGTCAGTAAAGGCCCTCAAATGATCTTTGAGGGGACAGAGCTCTCCAGAGTCTGGGAGACATAGCAGTAAATGGTGTAGCATGGGGCTGTTATGGTGAGGGAGCAGAGGGTTTTTTCCATGCACAAAATCTGACCCACATTGGGCTAGGATACTGACCCAAGGCATTAAAAGGTGAGGGTCGACAAAGACTAAGGAGATGGTTATGATGGCAGTCTTAAGGTGAAAAAGGGTGTAAATTCAAAGCTTAACTTTGATGGGGTACCCCTCCTGGAGAGAATATCTCCCTCTCATGCAACTAATAAAGTAAAAGTTCCCCTGCTCCAAGCTCATATTCTTTGCAACTCTCCACAAGCAAAGCTAATTTGGAACAAAAAATTTTCAACTGCAAAAAGATGAAACACAACTTTTGTTTCTTGTGCTGTTGTTTTTCTTGTTTTTCTCTTTTCAGTCTTGTTTTCACACAATCACACTAGCCCCATACAAAACTGCTGTTTTTTCAACGAATTTGGTAAGAAACAGAGAAAGGTCGGCAGACTTGCGGTGCATTTTGGAACTAAACTACAAAAGAGACAATGCTCCATTTTTCCAAAGACTACACCTAGTGCAATGAAGTTAGGAAAGGGCATTCCTGTTTTGACATGGTCCTAATTTTCTCATCATGACAAGTGGGCTGCACATTCCTTTGTTAGAATTGTATCACACTCTATTTTCATGGCAACTTGCTTGCATTGACAAACTCTTCTCAATGATCAACTTGAATTTGACAATGTAACAAAAATGCTTATACTACTTGGAAATCCATATCTCTCGAGGAATTCTGGAGAATGTTTGCCTCCTCCTTGAGCCTTGGGTTTTCCTGTATACCATCCAATAGTTATAAGCATTCTTGATAAGAAAATCATACCATAGCTAGATTTGAGGCATAATTCAAGAGTGGAAAACCCTTTATGATTTGCTTCAACCCAAATAACAGAATTATGAATACCTGCTTAGATTCATGAATTCTGCTGGATTCTATCCTCTCTATAACCTAGAGTCTTCCAAGGCTACAACAGAAAAGAAGAAAAAGGATATATAGAGTAATGTGAGGAAACAAAAATGAATTTCAATGCTTACACCTTGAAACCATAAAGAAAATACGATGGCTTCTTGAGATTTTGTTGGCTGATCAATAATTCATGAACGTAACATATAACAACCAGGGTGAATTGTATATATTCCATAAGTTGGGGGGAATGAAGCCTGGTCCGAGATCATTCTGATGAAGTCTAGAGCTTCAAATGAACGGTCTCGAACCAGACAGCATTCCCCTCAACTGTTCAAGACTTCAAAGAGAGAGAAGAAGAAAGAGAGAAAGGAGAAAAGAGAGAGAGAGTGTCTGTGTGTGTGAGAGGGAGAGAGAGAGGACTGTTTGATATTGATTTGGCCATGCAATGCTTTTCCCATGGGCCCTTATATACGTGAGGATGAGTATCTCCTTATGCGGGTCAGATGACATTAGAATCCCCGCTTTCTACAGCTTCCCCCTATCATGCTTTACACACAGATTTCAAGTTTTGCAACTTTGATGTTTAAACTTCTTTCTAGGCTACGTTTGGCTTTGAAAGTCGAAACCCCCCTCACCATATAACTCTGGAGAAGCAAATGGAAAGGTCATTGGTTTATACAGAAAGTTGAAAATACATTGTTGGAGATTAAAATCTTCAACATGGTATGACAGTTTTTTTTGACTCAATGATCTACAGTTCTTGAAAGTCTTTATTTTGTTAGATTTTAGTACAAAGAACAGGAGGGATTTGGCTTTTTATAAACCAACTTTTGTATTATATATATTAGTTTGATTAATCATCTACAGTGAGATGAAATGGATATGGACATGTTGATTAGGAATGCTGTCAAACACACCACTGTAAATTGAAAAATTAGATGCCAAAAGAACTGAAAATGATACTATAAAGTTTGGTGGAAGAAATTAAAGCCATTGTTACAGATTATAAATGGGGGTTGGAAATAAAAAAAAATGAAAAGATTGGGTGAAATACTGGGGTCAAAGCAATAGCTTCTTTTAGCATCTGATACAAAAGACTTAGCAAAAGCTCTATTCTACCTGTCAATCCTCCTCCCCCCCTCCCAAACTTAACTGTCTGAATTATAAAATTCATAAAAAAAGGGTACACGTGTCGTAACGAATGCCGGTTGATGGAACAAGGTAAGCCAAGAATTATCAAATGAATGAATGATCATTGCTTGGAGAAATTGGTGCTATGATTGAAGGATTACTTTATAACAGTGAGCTGAAAACTAAAGAAATATGGGGGTAGTGGTAACTTGCATCATCATCTTGACAAAGGGTGTTTAAAGGATGTCTCTTTTGCATCCCACTTGAGGAAAAAGGACAAGATTGAGGTGGGAGAAGCTTCATCAATGAGGGCAATATGCCACAAATAGTGTGATTCCAAGCTTAAATGGAAAGAAATACAGGTTGGCCTGTTAAAAGCTTTTGCAGAGCCTAAGGGAGGGCATTAGGAGGAAAAACAAAGCTGAAAGAAAAATAGAAAGAAAGGAAACTCTTCATGAAGTGATGTTACTGTGTTTTTTAAATATTTAAATGTAACTTATTATATGATTTAAGTCATTTCCTAATTTCACAAAAAGTCATCCACTTTGAATTATTAATATGACAACTAAATTTGTTTGAGATAATGGCAGACATCTATCTATCACATTTTACATGTGTTTAGGATCAAGAACCAATGTGCACCAGGGGAAAAAAAACTATGACAAGAGTTCTATATCTCTGCAAATGGCAGTAAGCTCACTTCAGGCACCCAAATTGATTAGCTACTATATATTAGGTGCTTAAGCATACCCATATAAATGAATCAGTCAAATTACTGTGGTACATTAAGAGACAGAAAGGGCAGGTGTGTTAGAGGAAAAAGAAGAAAAATATAGCTAGAAAAGAGAGGTAGGACTTGCATTTGACCCAGCTTCAGAAAGTATTTTGTTGGGTAATCCACATTCATTGCTCTTAATTAACATAACATTGTAATGCAATTACAACTTGTTAAATCTTTTTCCTTATAATGGAAGGTAAAAACCTTTCTCTTTGACATTTATGTTGAAGTTAAAAGCATCCCTAAGTTCCATGTACATGATTCAAGACTGAATAAATATGTTGCTTGTCATTAAGCTCATTAAACATTCTCAAATTTGGTGTTCAAAACTTGCAAAACTCAGTAACTCAGATAGTATTTAAAGCATGAATAATCAAGGACTCAAAGTTAAGCTAAAATTTAAAGCCAGGATCCTTTTTGACTAGCAAAATTTGTTAGCACAAATGAGGCATTTTCATCTCAAAAAGTCGTCTTTTTCTGTTAAATCACTGAAAAACAAAAAAGAATACCCACAACACTATGTGCTTTACGCTCCATGAGCATCTTTTTCTCTTTTTCTTTAAGACCTTTTCATGATGAGGCTTGCTGTAACTATGCAACACAAGGATTTCCATGCCATAAAAAGCACAACTTCCACCCTAACAAAGCGTCCCTTAACGGCCCCTCTACCTTAACTTTATA